TGCCCAAGGTCACCCAGTGGGTTTCCATGGCTGAACTGGGATTCAAACCCAGGTTTCTACAGCCATAGTCCAACACTCAAACCACTACATCATGCTGGCTGCCACTTCATCTGTCTATTTGTACTTTAAACATACATTATACTTTTCTACAGCAAAGTGGTGCTTAGCTGGTACCTGATAAACCAGTATTGCTATCATGTTATTTGGCTTGCCCTGGTTACCCAACTGTCACAATTTCATAAAAAGGTGATGGCTTTAATCTTTGAATGCCTAATCAGCTTGGCATCTGGCTATCTTTGAGGCCATGTGATGAATGTGTCTAGATGTGAAGATCTTCAGGAAAAGCCCTCTTAAGAACACCATGAGCTGCAAATACCTCTTTGATGCAGAAGAAGGCTTTCTCTTGTCTGGCTCCCAAGCTGTGAGATGTACTCCCCTCCAACATGAAAACCTGGACACATGTGGATGAGCATCATCAGATTGTGATCAATATGATAAAAATTATTAATAGTTAAGACTGAGGAAGAACACACAAGCTAGGATGGGCTGTATGAGTTTGCTGTTGCATGGGCCTACAGAGAAGGGCACGTTTTTATCCACTCCCCTCCTCCCCAGTTAATTGAGTGTAAACTAATTTTGCACTTAGAACTCAGTTTGCAGCAATTTAAGTAAGCTAAGGACAAAGGGGGGAACTGGGAGGAGGAGAGAGAAACTGGAGTATTTTAAAAGCATCTGGAAAAGTGAGATGACAGTTGGAAAAGTTGGATACACGTCTTCAAACAGGTTCAATATTCATTGATTTCTATTTTTAATTTTTTAAAAAAATATATATTTTTGCACTTATGTTGTTAATAGATTGATTCTGTAGTTCTTTTTCATGTTCATTCACCTTGAATGCTTTTTTTAAAAAAAGAAAAGAAAAAAAGAAAATTAATTTTTAAGAATAATCTTCTTTAGGGTGCATCTACACTATAGAAATAATGCCATTTGACACCACTTTATCTGCAACTACAGAATCCTGGTAGTTATATTTTTGTGAGGCTCCAGAACTCTTTGGCATAGAAGGTTATAGATCTTGTAAAACTACATATCCCAGGATTCCATAGGATGGAGCTACATCACTTAAAGTGGTGTCAAACTGAATTATTTCTACAATGTAGATGCACCCTTAATTGTATTGATTTGTTGTTATTGTTTATTGCCATATAAATACAAAACTAAACTAAACTGTGTGCATTTAAAACAAGTAACTTCACATGCACTGACTGCGTATATTATTTTTTAAAAAAATCAGGATTAAGAAACAGGGTTTCATTTTTATTTTGCACTGTATATAGATGTGTAAAGTATAGATAAATAGTGCAGGGATGAGAGATGAATAATGTTATCTGTGTGGATAAGACCACTTAATCCCAAACTCTAGAATTATGTAGCTACAGCACTGGGTTTCATAGATATCCAAAAATGTTGACTAAAAACTCCAGAATGTATGGAAAGGGCTTTAAAATCCTGACTACATTTTATATTGGAAAAGCAGTTTGCCAGGGCTAGCAATCTGTAGATTTGGAATTAGGGGAATCAAATAGATGGTAATTATTTTAAAAAGCATTTCCCCCCTCCTAAGTAGTTGGTCCCATTTGCTAGAATCTAAATGAGCTTTTGTGAGTTGACTTCTATTTAATTCATCCTCTTGGATGAGAGAGTCTCTTGCTTGTGTCACTTCTTCATGTGAGATAAGCCTATGCAATTATGCTTTATTCCACCTCCATTTCAACAGTATTTACTGTTTCAAAAATATTTTTCCTATACTTTTTCCTATCTGTTTCCCTTTGTACCTGTTATAGTCTGATGAGCCACCCTGTTACTAGCGATGTAATCATAGGAGGCAGGAGGATGAAGGTTTTGCCCCCAGGAAGAATTCTGCCTCACCATGAAATTTTATTTCAGTTGCCAAATATCTAGTATTGGAGCAAATGAGTAACTACAAATCACTGACATCTAAAAGTCACATATTCATTGTGTTCTCATTCCTCTGATTATTTTGCCTTCCCTTTTTCTTTGGATGCCAGAACTATATTTCTAAATGCTCAACTGAAGTTTTAAAATACTCCAATGGTAAAATGAAGGAAAAAGTCATGGGGGAGCAAAGTTTTTATGGGGGAGGGTGATACCCAATTTTGTCATCCCTGTAGCTATAGCCTAGTACCCATTTTATTCTTGCATGAAAGATAGTACAGTAATGTCAGGTTTTTTAAAAAAAAGAAAACCAAAGAAACAACGATGATCTGAGCCTCCTCTTTTAGGGAATCAAGATCTATGAATACACACAACTATATGCTGTCTGTTGAAGATACTTTTGAATTGTCCTCCTGTCAAACTTTGTCAAAGCTTTATCTTGCTCATTTTTCATCAAACAGGTGATGACTATGTTTTCTTTAGCCTTACAATTGCTGGTGATAGACAATATTATTTGTAATTATTGTTGTCAATAGATATTTTCATTATTATTGGTTTGCCACTTTTGATTCATTGAATTGATTTTGATATTTTGCATTGTTTTATCATTTTTATTGGAATTAGCAACATGAGACTATCTATGCTCAGAAAATTTTGAGCAAACATATAAATGCAAGCAGACTCTACCAAATAAAAACATCTTTGGAAAATTAGGCCATTTCATAGAGATTAAAGTGTACTACATATTGAGACAGAAAGACTGAACAAAGTTCAATATGGCAGCAACACCTGCAGAGGAAATAACACATTTAGTAAAGTGCTTTCAGATACAAAATTATCAGGTTAAACCTCTATGCCTGACCCTTTTTGGAATGTTGTTGCAAATGTAGTCACAGATAACATCACTCATTTTGCAAGCTGTGCAAAAGAAGCCAGCAGCATTAGGTTCCCATCTTCCCACACAGTTCCAGAAAATCACTTCTGAAAGCCAGTTCTGAAAATGCTACTTCTGCCTCCGCCTTTGCCTCCTACAGAAAGTCTGGGTGGCATATTAAGAGGCCTTGCTTTCAATTCATCTGCAAACTTCTGCAACCTGCAAATGCAAACCAACTTTGCTGCACTCTGTTAGTGGCATATCAACAGCAGGACAGTGAAGGTGGTCTGCTCCGGATGAAGGTGGATGCAAGCAAAATGGAGGAATATTTCAAATTGTTACTTAGGGGAAGAAAAAGAAGAAGACTAGATCCTAAATGACAAAGGAAGGTATTAAACCAATCAGGAGAAAGGGGAGAGAAAGTGGACTGTGAGGCAGCAGCAGGAAGCAGCGGTGTTTATTGCTGCTTTCCAGGGCTAGCTCCCAGGCTTGTCTTTTCCCAAATCCTGGACCAACAGACATACCAGGAGGCTTGAGGGGATTGGAGGGTATGTCTGTTGCCAGGCAGCAGGGAAGAAGAATTTGTCAAAGAGGTGGGAAGCTAAACAGAACGCCCTGGATGAGGAATAAGCCAAGTCTGACAGAAGCCAGAGTGGAAGGACCTATGCAGCAGGGAAGAGAGGAGAGGAGAGGAGAGGTGTGGTCATCAGGAGGCAGGGAGAGGATGATAAAAGGAGGCCACAGCTGTGTGGGAGGGGAGGAAGATGCTGATGAAGGGAGGAAGGAGAGAGTGCTGAAGCCATGAATAGGAGAAAGAGAACTCACAACAACACTTCATACAAGGCCTGTTTCTTTGTTGCCATTTTTGGGCAAGGTAATCGAGAGGGCG